CTTAGGTTACGATGCCGAAGTTCAAGTTTGAATCAGATGTCAACCTCAAGGACGCCTTGAAGGAGATGGGCATCACGGAAATGTTCACCGATCAGGCAGATCTCTCGGTTATCACAGGATCCCCGGAACTCCTTGTGTCTGACGCGAAACATAAAACGTTTATAGAGGTACGATTGTCACTAAATATGAAGACTTGACTGAATAAAGTTAATTTTTAGGTGGATGAAAACGGAACGAAGGCGGCAGCGGTGACGGCCTTCAAAATTGTTCCTATGTCGCTCGTTATTCAAGAAAAAGAGATTTTTTTCACCGCCGATCACCCTTTCATGTTCGCCATTGTCGACCGTCGAAATGGCAATATCCTGTTCATGGGAAGATACACAGGCAAATCCTGAAGTTTGATGATTATCGGAATCGTTAACGCGATCTGATCCGACACTCGTTCATTTTTGTGCCTTAATTTTTTTACATGTTAGATTTTCACTGTATGAAGTAAATGGATAGAATGCGAATTTTGTTCGGCATCAGAAACTATAGTTGAAAAGCGTAAAAATCAATACATCGTTTACCGGAAAGAGTTTGTTGCCAGGAAAATATCAATAAGACATCCTGTTTTGGGATATATGTAAAAGAAAGCAAAGTTTGAATACATGGGTAATAGTCATAGAACTTCGGGCTAATATTTTATTTTAACTTTTTTGTCGTTTTAATCCAGTATCGATATATTTTTAATATTGCGTATCGACGGTGGAATCGAAAACTCCACTCATGGAGTCTTGCCCAGAACATCGGGGTTATGTTTACGGTTTTGTGCCTAGAGCTCCTGCCGTTTGGACTTGAACATTTATTTGCTCAACCCAATTAAGAGACGTGGTCTTGCGTACCATGCATTTTAGGCCCCCTATGCGACTAGAAGCTATAGCGCCATTGGTGTAAAGTAAGAAATACGTTTTATCTTTAAACTCTGCAATTTCGCCGTTTCAGTCCGGTATCTTCGCTTTAATATCACATATTTGACGGCATTATCGAAAGCGCCCTCTCGAGGAGTCTACTTCACAATATGTGGGTTAGATTTTCGGGTTATTTTCACCTTCGGATCGTGGCGTATGAGTCTGAACATGTTTTTGTTCAACTCAGTTAGGAGATGCGGTTTTGAGTTCTCTGCACTGCCGCCGTTTAAATACTATGGAGTTGTAACCTGGTTCAATGGCCCCTAGGCGAGTACAAGTAAAGGGGTGAAGCGCAGTTGGTTATACTGGCGTTTATACCAATAACGCAGTTGGTATAAAGCGAGAAATACATTTTTCGTTTCGTAAACTTTGCACTTTTGCCATTTCAATCCAACATCTTTATGTTAATCTTATCTTATTATAATATTTGTCTATATTTTGTCCACATATTTGCCTAGGTCTATTCATAGCAGTTCCCAGAGAAAATTTTCAAGACACTCCGTCGGAAAATCAGGGGCTAAAGGTAAACAGTCACTTCTAAGATCACCTGCGGTTTGCGAATGATACTGCAGTCCTCTCAAGATCACCAGGAAAACTCGAATGAAGAATTCGAAAGGTGAACGACGTCAACCTCAGAGTAAAACTGAAAATGAAGAAGACTTTGATCATTTTTAACAAACACGCTACCGCGCGACCTCTAAGGACCTAACTTTGCACTTTCAACGGGTGCAAAACGATATCCATCTGGGACAGTTCGGAAAATCGATTTTATTAAATCAACAGAAGAATAAAAATGGCACGAGTCACTTTTAGGCATAGCCTGCTGTGTTGTAAGAGCTTTCTTGCGGAAGAATTGAAAATTGTTCAAAATCACACATTCAATGGCTCAACGTCCGGCAGAAATCGTAAATTTAAGATCTCAAGTTGGTTGGTGTCTAAATGATATCACATGCAAAAAGTACTGCCAATTATAATTTTTCATAACTTATTTCGTTTTGTCCAAACGTCGCCTTTTAGGCAGTCGATAAGCAGCAAGAAACTGGCATATGCATCAAGGACGCTGACAAGACTCTACTGGTTTAACTGTCGATCGATATTGGCCAGCTTTACTTTATATTGAAAAGTCGCTACTCGACAATGAGCTGGCCATACGAGCAAAGAAAGAGCTGTTTGATTTAGCCATCCTACGCGCCACATACTACTACTAAATCCGAGGAAAACGGATTAACAGTGATTCGAAGAATGAATCTGATTTCTGAGCGCACAAATCGACAAAGGTCTGAATTAACAGATGATAAGCGAAGATGGACCGATCTTGTGGCTCGCCTGGAAGACAACCGATGGAGGCTAAAATGTAGAAACTCGATTTCGCTGAACCACCAACGTCGAGTCGAATCGGTCGTCCAGGAGCACCCTTGGATGATCCGATGATTAAGTTACTTGATCAGCGATTGAGGCAGAAGGCGGAAGATTGAATACTGTAGGCGTGCCGACTTGTGCTCAAGCTGACCCATAACGGATGACGGAAACGTCATGATACCAAAATGAAATTTAGCTCAGACAAACATTTCATCAAACGACATTTACTTGTGCAAATTGCCGCCCACACCTTCAACAATTAAAATACAAGAACAGATCATTTGAGATATTTCTACCATTCACATACTCAGGTATTACCTCAGTGCTGAACGATTAATGGGTGGAATCCTTACGAAGGTGAAATCTTCCGGTCACACTCTGGTGATTTACGGTTTAGCACCAGCTGATATGTTCGGCTAGTAAAAAGAAAGCTAGAATCCTGATGAGTTGAAAACGCGCAGTTGTTGCACTTTGGCAAAACACCATTGACAGCTGGGAAAGCAAAAAATAAATAGCTGTTGAAATTTACTTAGAGTATAGATTCAGTCCAAGTTAGTGCGGTAAGTTATTCAACTGATGACATTTTTACTCGAATAACGAATAGAGCAAAGAAAAAAATCCGAGAAGAAAAAGTTATATATTATTCATTTATTACTGAGGTATTTTCATTTACACATTACGTACTGGTGATCGTGTTGAAAACAGCAATAACCGCGCTTATTTATAGTCAACGCAAATAATTTGGTCATTTAGTCGATTGACCAATACGGACATTTCACCTACAGAAAAAAACGCTGGCTAAACAGGCGCGTCGATAAGACGTATATCATCCGGTCATGCGACAACATCAACGGTGGCAAAAGATCGAACTGTTCGCAGAGACTGGCGAAACTTTTTGACCCTCTGTAACTAGAAAGCGAAAGCCCTTAGCGGACAGCACGGAACCAACGCTCATCTTCTGACTCTGAGCGTACGAACGGCTGAGGGTGAGGAGAATGGCTTATGAAACTCATGCGACTCCTTATCCTGAAGTAGGCTTGTGAGAAACAGGGAAACGCCAGTATCGGTCAATCATCTGATTGACCATACATTTCCATTGTGCGCTGTTCTTGGGAGGAAAGTACGAATACTGCGTGGTTCGACTAGCGAGGTAGTACGGCTTCCTCGTACGGCTGTTTCAGAATTAACAAAATGCCTCGCCATACCTTCGATCCTTCATGATAGCAATTCAATTTGACACCTCTGCTGATGAATACGTTGTGAAATCCAAACTACGAATAAGGCAATAGTATTAGACAATTTGTAAGCGATCCATCGATTCTAGGCAAATGATTGATGTCCATTAGACACTTTATTCCGACGTGATTAGGACGCAGAAACGCGAAGTAGCAGTGGTAGAATTTACCTATGTTTTACCAGCACAGTTTTCTCACCAATCTTAGTGCCAACATCAGATTTGATCATTGCAATCTTGCCAGAAAATCAGTTTTGGTTGTGGTGCTATAAGTATGAATAAAAAAAATTGTTCATGAATGATATTAAGTGGTGAGATGAGTCGCTGAAGACTTGTAATACAGTTTTTGATAAATTTACTTGGTAAAATAACCCTTAACGAAACACCGGGAAATCACTTCCATTGTGATAAATAGGAATGACGTTTTACCCTATTTGCTACGTTAATATCAATCTTCATTCTTTTGCATGATCACCTGGGACTGAAGTTCCTATTTCGAGTGGAGTTGAGTGATGTTTTTGAGTCCGACATCAGCACCTTAGATTTTGAGTCTAGGAGACGCTCTTCATGCATGCATTGCGAATGCTTCCAGAAAGGAAGACGTACCAACTATTCCTTATCCAACCGACCGGCACAAGGCCCGGGGGACGGTCGACATTAACCTGGTGCAAACATATGGAAGGAATCTGTTCCAGAATTCAGTTGTCTTCTGCCGAAGCTCAGATTCTGGTACAGGATCGGGAACATTGGAAACACTGTCTGACTTGTTTTCCTCCGCCATCCGAATGGTGAAGCATTTGTAGATGATGACAATGAAAGTGATGAGAAGCCTATCAACATGTGCTTGATAGCCATTCCAGCCTGAAAGGGTTCGCGGTTGTGGTTTTCCGTTTCCTCTGTTAGATGAATCGCAAGTTTTTTCAGAGTCTCAAAAAGAACTCTCATGAATGTTTAAAATCAACCCTCCGTGCTTAGGACTCCGATAAAATCGAGATTCTGCCTTTTGGTGGTAGAAAGGCTCCCCCAGGGACCACTGAAACAAGGTCGGTCAGTTGGTATCATGTTTCAGGCAGATCCTGCCATGATAAAAAATGGTTTTTGGTACTGGCAAGTTCGACAATCAATTAGTTTCTGACGTTCGCTTTGAAAGCGTTGGTCGCGTGTCTGTTTTTGGCCAGAAGATCATTATTTGTCATTTGTTTTGAACCTCAAAAACAACCTGATCACAATCAATCAATCAATTTCGATTTTTCTCGATTCTGTGCCAGCGTCTCAGCTTCGGAAGAAGACAACTGGAGTTTAGAGCAAACTCCTTTCATACACTTCTCCAAGGCTAATCTTAGGCGTCCAGGACACTTCCCCCTGTAGGTGAAGCAAGTAGTAGCTGTTTCACCTTTCTTTCTGGAGCTATACATAACATGCGCCTACAATCACGTCAAGACGCATAACTCATCTCAGAAATCCTCAATTCACTCGCTTTACCTGAGATCGGAATTTTTCTGTCATAATCAACAACTAATGAGCATCAGTTAGCATTGGGATAAGATTCACTTGAGCACAAAGAGCCTTGTAGCGAAGGCAGATTATGATTGCATTATTTTTATTTATTACTGTTATTCACCATTCTTATTGAAGAGTAAAACTCATCAACACATACAGTAAGCGTGAACCCAGCCATTCATTTGTCGTACTTGTTTCATTCACTGATATTCGTATGAAACTTGTATATACACGTCAACCAACCAGAATATTGTTAACAACAGTAGAGATTAAACAACGTTTGAACAGCAGAACTGGTAAACTTCATGATAATCTGACCTGGCTGAAACTCTGAACAGATCTTTTTTAGATT